GTATGTTCATTCTCACTTAATGAATTAGCGCAGAGAGAATAACTATTTGATGACAGTTTGATTGTCGAATTGGAGCGCTTAAGATCGACGCAACAGTCTTTAACGGTATTTGCGTCATCATCGTTATCGAACGAACAAACTGATCAGATGAAGGCATTAGAAGTGAAATCAATGGAATTGGAACAATCACATGAAACACAAGAGCGTCTGATCGATGAACTTCGTATTGCTGAGGCCAAACTTTTGGTGAATTATTGTTTATTAATTGATTTGTTCATTTATTCATTGGCTGAATGATTTATAAATTTTACTGATTTAGATGGTTGACGACACGGTTCGAGATGATGAGAGTCGCATTGAACAACTTCAAGGAAGTGTTAATGAATGGCGTAAAAGATTCGAAGAGGTCAGCCAAGAAAATGAAACGCTACAACGTGCAAACGAAGAAGTGCAGAATTTGGAACGTGTCATCAATGAAATCAACACTGAAAAGGAAAACTGCTATCAGCAGGTATATCGCGTACATAATTGAAAACGTTCATCGTTATGAATTTAAATGATTTGTTCGTATGCATTCATTAGTTCATATCGATCATTTACTCAGTTAATTAATAAATTGATTAATCACTTGTTAACGAGCAGCTAGGTGATGTAATGGAGGAGAAGCGGCAGTTGATCGCATCAAGAGATCATTTATCGGATCGACTGAATGAAGCGAATGCTCATATTGAAATTTTGCAACAAAAATTGATGCGCACACTTGAAGCAAGAACGTCGGGTACGGTACGTATTGTTGAAATGGAAGCTGATATGAGACGTCTGAATGCTAGAATTGCTGAGGTGCGTTCGGTTCACTTCAGTGATTTATTCTCATCTCTTTTTATATTGTTAATCGTGTGACTGTTTGCAGTTGGAGCGAATCAACATTTCAGCTGATAACAGTGCAGTCGGGTTTGATGATCGCATCGCTGAACTGAACGCACAAAATTTCAAACTCAAAAAACAAGTATTTGTTTTTGTTGGCGACTCATTTCATTTGATTGGTTTATCGTCGTATTGAATGTCGAATGTCTTGTGATGTTTTATTGGAATCGTTTGGAAGTTATTCCGAGTTCAGATCCGCTTTTAGAAATTGTATTCGTTTCGTCAGTTTCCATTAAAACGAGTGAATGATAAAGAGTCTCAGCAGAAAATTGACCATTAGCATGCCGTGCAGATTGGAAGTGAAGACAATAGTTGGCAATATAACTATAAGACAGAAATGAACATGAAAAAATAGAAATTGAACAGTCTAATTTGAATGAAGTAGAATAAAGCCAATTAAAGGGACTCAGCCAACTCTGTTTTATTGTGCATATTACGATCAAATCTTTATCGTTGTATTAATTTTCATTCATGGTATTGCTTTGGTCAAAGGTGAGTTGTGTATTTGATTTCGTTATGTTTCAGATTGAAGAGCTGAAATTAATTGGAAGTAATCAGGAAGGCGGTTCTTGTGCAGAAACCAGTTCGGTCGTTCATTTAGTTGTTGATGAAACTGTTGAATCGCCTTCAGATGATGTGGTCGTATTACAGTCCAAGTTGGATAAAGTGTTAGGCAGCAAGAGAAATGATCCTGAATGGTCGATTTCTACGGATGAATTGAGCATTGCGAAAACGAATCGTCCAGTGAACAACGACGTAAAAGACAATAGCAGTGTTCTGATCAATGAACTACGAGAAAGAATCACAGTGTTGAGCGAACAGTTAATAAGTGCTCAAGAAACCATTGAAATGGTTGGTACCTACTCAACAAACTATCACTTTTTACTGAATATTGATTGTTTTTTTTAATATGTATTTAATGCCTTTTTCATTCTTCATCACATTCTACTTGAACGTATTTCAAGATTCATTTTTATCTCCTTCTATTTGCTTTACTACAAATTTCAGTTGTAAATATTTTTCTCGAAATGAAAGGTGAAATTATATCTGGATAATTGTTACAGTTGAACGAGCGCTCGTCATCAACTCATGTGCCGTTGGACGAGAGTGAGTCGGACTTTCACAATGTATGCATCTTTGAAGTGACTGATTGCTTCCTAATCTTATTGTTGTCATAATCATTTGCGTCAAATATTGAATTTTGTTTGCAGAACTCAACTGAATTGATTCCAGCGAATAATCCATGGCCTAGGTTGATAATACGTTTGCGACGTCTATTCAGATGGATGCCTCATCGACGCCGTGCGCTTCTACCATATTTCAGATACGCACTATTAGCATATTTTGTCTTTTTGCATATAGCTTTCTTTCATTGCTTCTTCTTCTAACAGCTTTACTTGATGACACAGGTTTCAAAAATTCATTCATGCCTTTCATTTATAAATCATTATTAATTTCATCAGTTGCGCATTTTCGATCTTTGAATTCAGTTACTTCAAAGACACATCTCAAGCTATAAAAATATTGAGATGGTGTTTTTGCATGAAACAACAAATAATTGAATCAAACATTTCTGTTTTGAAAATTCAGGATTTGATTCTGTTTTCTAAGTAGCACAATAATGCCCATTGTATAAAATACTTATTCGTTTGTTTTTGCTTTATTTCATTTCGAAATTCCATTGCGGATGTGTAACGCATCAACGGATGGATGCTCATTATTCACTTCTTGTGACATTCTGCTGTGATTACTATTATGACTATTCGCTAACAGAATTTTTTGAAGAAATATCTAATGTTTATTGTAAGACTGTCAAGCTATCTCCTTTCAGACCAATCATAATTTATTTATGCGGCCATACTCTTTGTTTTGAATCAAAATTTTTGTGTAAGTCGAATTGAAGTTGGTGATCAATCAGTCAGTTTTAATTTTACCCTCATCTCTTTTCAATTTGAATATTTTTTGCGACAAACTGAAATGAGCGAGAATTGTTTCATTGATCTGTCTCATTATCGTATTTCTGATGAAGTCATTTATTCACTGACTGAAGGTTGAACTGATCGATTGATCGGTTCTATTAGAGTGTATTATCTTTCGGTCGCATTCGCTTATCTTTTAATCGTTCGTGCCAGTTATCTTCTTCTAAACAGTACCTTCATTTTAGTCAGTCATAATATACGTGTAGGAGCTGCCTGTATGATAGTACTAAATCATTGTTAACAAGAAGATATTATACATCCATTGCTATGATTTTATTTGCGTTCAATGGTCAGTTATTAGACAAGTGATTCCTCCACTGAGGGTTTCGTTTGAAGTCTTGAAAATTAGTTCATTAATAAACATCGACAATGAAATCATGTGTTTAGAGGTACTTTCTGTCATTCGTACTGTTTTATTGCTATGCGATTTTGGTAATAAACTAACATGCAAAGTGAATCATCACATTGTCAAATATGGTTTGTTATAGAAAAAAAAAGAAGTTTAACTTTGAAATTGTGGTAAACTCGTTGTGCTTTTTAAATGAATTGGCCATATTATGATTATATTCACTGTTTATTTCTGTATTTATTTACTTCGTCTTTCTGTGATGTTTATGCTGTTTTTGTTAAAATGATCATATTTTCTTGGTTGTCGTGGACGGTAGTGAAAATATCAGTGTTGTTGCAAAGCGTTTCGTTAACTGACTAAAATTATTCGATGTTTTCGATTTGATCATGTTCTGAATTACTCCAAAGTTGGTGAAAGTTTGATGATTAATTGTGCAACATATTGATCGTTGAATACTGCGTTCAATTTACGCTGTCATTAACGTTTTTTTCTTGAAATATATACGAACAATAAAGTGATTTGCGTGATGGAATTTGTGATACGAAAACACGAAAATTGCTGTATTTTCATATTGTAATACGAAAATTGCTACGTCCACTTCAGTGCTGTTTTGCGTGCGATTTGTTCGTGGATCTGTCTGATGTTGGATCACTGATTAATTTCTAGACTGAATCGTAATACCTTGTTCATCGTCGACGATACCCTCACAATGATCAAGTGATCTGATCAGAAATTGCAGAGTGGCTACCTTTTTATTGCTCCTTTACCCCTTGCTCCACACCAAATATCACCACTCGGTTATTTATCGACCCATTTTCTTTCAACGAAACTTGTTAACTATCAAGTGAGTGGTAGATCTACGAGGTTGCTGAGAAGACCTGGGCGTTCAAGAGGCTTGCTGGCCTGAACGTTGAGGTTTAACCAATCTGAAAAAATTTTTTGTGACATCCAGCTGGAAAAGGTGACATCCAGCTGGAAATCCAGGAGTGGAGTAAAGAACCAAAACGCCTTACTGATAGTGAGAATATTTTGTTGCAAAAAAGTCGAGTTTAATAGTGCAATTATGCATATTTTCGAAGCCGCCTTTCGGGCTGATTGATTTTGTACTCATTGTCAGACCTTTACATACAGTAGTTCAACAATTGTAATTCAAAAAGTGCGGGAAGCATTCTCTGCTGACGCAATTTGATAGTTCACTTGTGAGGCTAAATAATTCATCTGGAATAAATAATTGAACTTCTGGAAGGCAGATAAAAGATAAAAATATTCAGATATTACTAGTCAAACTTGAGGAGACGGTAGGCTCGAAGATGGCAAACCGCATTTCACGCTGGATCGACTGGTGTACAAATATTCATATGTTACTGGTCAAACTTGAGGAGACGGCAGGCTCGAAGATGGCAAACCGCATTTCATTGGGTAAACTTGAGGAGACGGTAGGCTCGAATATGGCAAACCGCATTTCACGCTGGATCGACTGGTGTACAAACATTCATATGTTACTGGTCAAACTTGAGGAGACGGTAGGCTCGAAGATGGCAAACCGCATTTCATTAAGAAAATACCCATATCTCCGCAAGAAAGCAAAATCGCTCGACAAAATATATGTTTCTCTGAAAGTAGAGATTCTGAGCAATCGAATCAGATAAAATATATGTTTCTCTGAAAGTAGAGATTCTGAGCAATCGAACGGTGCAAAGAAATTCATATGTCACCGGGCAAAGCTGAGGGTACTGGTACCTTGAAGATTTTAACGCCTATATTGCTGTATTAATGTATAACATTGATCTA